CAATACTATTCATAAGAAGAGGAATACTACTAGGAGGATGAGGGGGAGGAGCCGCTGGACGAGGAGGAGGAGGAGAACGCGAAGGAGGAGGCGGAGGAGGAGGAGGAGCAGGGGGGGGAGGAGAATGAGGAGGAGGAAGAGGAGGAGGAGGGTGAGGTGGAGGAGGAGGAGAAGGAGGAGTAGGATGAAGAGGAGGAGCAGGAGGAGGAGGAGGAGCGGGAGGCGGAGGAGCGGGAGGGGGAGGGGGAGGAGGAGAGGGCGGCGGGGGGGGAGGAGGAGGAGGAGGAGGAGGAGGAGGAGGAGGAGGAGGTAAGAGAAAGAGGACATGCTGACGACGCTGCAGTTGCCGCTGATGGTAATGGTGGTGCTGCTGCTGCTGCTACTGCTGTTGATGCTGCTGCTGCTGCTGCTGGTGCCGATGGTGTTGATGGCGATGATGCTGGTGCTGCTGCTGATGATGATGATGGTGATGCTGATGATGCTGATTTTGATGGTAGGATGGTAATCATGAGGATGCTGATAGTGATGTTTATGTTGATGTTATGATGGTGGTGGTGATGGTGCTGGTGCTGGTGATAGTGATGTTGATGGTGATGGTGATGGTGGTGATGGTGATGGTGATGGCGATGCTGACGTGATGGTGATGCTGATGGTGATGGTGATGGTGATGTTGATGGTGGTAGTGATGTTGCTGATGATTATGCTAACCATAGTGCTGATTATGACGATGGTGCTGGTGATGGCGCTTCCGATGACGATGCTGATAATGACGATGCCGCTGGCGATGACGACGGTTTCGAGGATGACGACAACGACCGTGACGACGATACCGATAATGCCGCTGCTTCTGCTGATCACGGCGGTGGTGGCGATGCCGATGCTGATGGTGTTCATGATGACGATGATGCTGCTCATGATGATGCGGATGCTGATGACGATGCTGATGCTGATGGTGATGACGCTGATGCTGGTTTCTGCTGCTGCTGATGATGATGCTGCTGATGATCATGATATTGATGCTGGTGTCAATGATGGTGTTGGGGATGGCGATGCTACTGGTGATGATCATGCAGGCGATGATGAAGCATACGATAATGGTGATTCGGCTTGTGTTGATGATGCTGATGTTGATGCGGTTGGTGATGCTTGTGCTGATGATGATGACGATGCTGCTGGCGATGATGGTGATGACGATTATGTTCACGGTGGTGCTGATGATGATGATGATGGCGATGCTGACGGTGGTGTCACTGATCGGAGATTGAAACATATACATTGCCAGGTGCGGGTTGTTTTTTTCAATCCGACGACTTTTTGAGGGTCGGGGACGACGTCGGGGTGGTGTGGTGTATACTCCTCTCCCGTTCCCCAGGCGAAACAACGAAACATGTATACACCGGGGTCCCGTATACACCAGGATCCGCGTTCCTGTGCGAATTTCAGCGCAGGGTCGGAACACGCGTCGGTGTATAGAGTTCGTGTCCCTAAATGACGCAGACGCGATGCTGATGTTGATGATGAGGAGGAAGACTACGATGGACAGGGTGCGAGTGATGGTGGTGATGATGCTCATGATGTTACTGATAATGATGATATTGATGATGATGTTGATGATGATGATGGGACATGATGATGATGACTATGATGATGATGCTGATGATGATGCTGACGATCATGATGATGATGCTGATGATTCCGATGATGGTGCTGATGATGATGATGTTGATGATGCTGATGCTGATGATGATGATGATGTTGCTGATGATGCTACTGCTTATGATGATGAGGATGATGATGATGATGATTAGTGAGTAGTGGGTAGTGGGTGATGCGTAGTTCGTAGTGCGTAGTGAGTAGTGAATAGTGAGTGGTGAGTAGTGAGTAGTGGGTAGCGAGTGAGTAGTGAGTAGTGAGTAGTGAGTAGCGAGTAGTGAGTAGTGAGGAGCGAGTAGGGCGTAGTGAGTAGTGAGTAGAGAGTAGTCAGTAGTGAGTAGTGGATAGTGATTAGTGAGTAACGAGTAGGGGGTAGCGAGTAGTGAGTAGCGAGTAGGGAGTAGGGAATAGGGAGTTGTGTGCAGTGGGTAGTAAGAAGTGGGTAGCGAATAGTGGGTAGTGAGTAGCGATTGGTGATTCGTGGGTAGTGAGTAGTGACTAGTGACTGGTGAGTTGTGACTAGTGACTAGAGATTACGTAGTGACTAGTGGGTAGGGAGTAGTAAGTAGTGAGTAGTGAATAGTGAGTAGCGGGGAGTGAGTGGTGAGTATTGAGTAGCGAGTATGCGAGTAGCGAGTAGTGAGTACTGAGTACTGTGTAGTCAGTTTTTGTGTAGGGAGTAGTGAGTAGCGAGTAGCGAGTAGTGGGTAGTGAGTAGTGATTTGTGGGCAATGAGTAGTTAGTAGTGAGTAGTGAGTAGTGGATAGTGGGTAGTGGGTGGTGGGTAGTGAGTGGTGATTAGTGATTAGTGAGTAGCGAGCAGGGAGTAGTGAATAGTGCTTAGTGAGTAGTGAGTATTGAGTAGTGGGTAGTGTGGAGCGAGTAGTGAGTAGTGAGTAGGGAGGAGGGAGTAGTGAGTAGGGAGTAGTGAGTAGCGAGTAGTGGGTGGTGGGTAGTGAGTAGTGCATAGTGAGTAGTGAGTCGTGAGTAGTGAGTAGGGGGTAGTGAGAAGTGAGTAGCGAATAGCGAGTAGTCCGTAGTGGGTAGTGAGTAATGAGTAGTGAGTACTCATTGGGGCTGGGGTTCGTGGTAGGGGTTAGGATTAGGGGTTTGGGTTAGGGTGAGGACTAGGGGTAGGGGTGGCGGGGGTCGGGGTCGGGTTCCGGACTCAGGGGGCGGCGTGGCGAAAAGGTCGGGGGGGGGGGGGGTCGGACCCCCCCCCCTTTGAAAGGGGGGGGGGGGGGGGGTACCCGACGACGGGTCGGGGAAAGGGGGGGAGGGGGGGGGGCTCCCCGACGACGGATCGGGGGGGAAGGGGGGGAGGGGGGGGGGGTCTCCCCCCCCCCCTTGGGGAGATCCAGCGGCGCACCCTCGATGATTAGGATGAGGAGGATGGGGAGGATGATGGTGAGCACGGATGGAGGGAGGGAAGGAGGGAGGGAGAGAGGGAGGGCGGAGGGGAAGGAGAGGAGGAGGAGGAGACATATGAGAAGGAGGAGGAGGCGGAAGAGGAGAAGGAGGAGGATGAGGCGAAAGACACGGACGAGGAAGAAGACGGAGAGGAGGAGGTGGAGGAAGAGAGAAGAGGGAGGAGGAGGAAGAGGATGTTGACGGTGGTAATGTTGATGATGGTGATGAGTCCACTGGTTGCTGATGGTGTGGTGGTGACGACTGCGCTGATGAGGATGTGGAGATGATTATCCTGAGAATGATGATGGTGCTGCTGCTGATGATGCTGATGATGATGGTGATTATGATGATGATGTTGATGGTGTTCATGCTGCTGATGCTGATGATGGTGATGCTGGTGGACATGATGATGACGATGGTGATGCGGATGATGCTGATTCCGATGATGGTGATGTTGACGATATTCACGATGCTGATATTGATGCTGATGGTGATGGTGATGATGTTGATGATGATTATGCTCATGCTGATGCAGCTGAGTTTGATGATGCTGCTGATGATGATGCTGAATATGCTTTGCACGAAGATGTTGATGATGCTGTTGTTGATGCCGATGATGTGATTGAGGTTGACGACGATGATGATGGCGATGCTGATGATGTTGATGATGATGCTGATGTTGATGCTGCTGATGATGGTGCTGTTGTCGATGAGGATGTTGATGACGATGATGATGATGATGATGATGATGATGATGATGATGATGATGATGATGATGATGTTGCTGATGATGATGTTGCTGATGATGATGATGCTTTTGATGATAATGGTGATGTTGTTGCTGATAATGCTGATGCTGACGAGGATGATGATTAAGCTGATGCTGCTGATGTTGGTTATGCTGATTATGATGATAGTGATGATAATAATGATCATGATGATGATGCTGATGATGATGATGTTGATGATGATGCTGCTGCTGCTGCTGATGCTGCTGCTGCTGCTGATGATGATGATGATGATGACGATGATGATGTTGACGATGATGATGACGAGGTGGAGGAGGAGGAGCAGGTGGAGGAAAAGGAAGAGGAGGAACGGGAGGCGGAGGAGGATGATGATGAGGAGGAGGAGGGTAAGCGGGACGAGCAGGAGGAGGAGGAGGAGGAGGAGCAGCAGGAGGAGGCGCAGCAGGACGAGGGGGAGGAGGAGGAGGAGGAGGAGGAGGAGGAGGAGGAGGAGGAGGAGGAGGAGGAGGAGGAGGAGGAGGAGGAGGAGGAGGAGGAGGAGGAGGAGGAGGAGGAGGAGGAGGAGGAGAGAGGGAGGCAGGGAGTGAGGGAGGGAGAGGGGGGGGAGGGAGAGGGATGGGGGAGGGAGGTGGAGGCGGAGGCGGAGGCGGAAGAGGAGGAGGAGGAGGAGGAGGAGCAGGACGAGGAGGAGGAGGAGGAGCAGGACGAGGAGGAGGAGGAGGAGGAACAGGAGGAGGAGCAGGAGGTGGAGCAGGAGCAGGCGGTGGCGGCGGAGGAGAGGGAGGAGGAGAGGGAGGAGAAGGAGGAGGAGGAGGAGGACGAGAAGGAGGAGGAGGAGGAGGTGGAGGGGGAGGAGGAGGAGGAGGAGGAGGAGGAGGAGGAGGAGAGATGAGGATCGCCTGCCCTCTTCAGCTGTGGGGGTACATCATTCGGAAGGAGCCCCAAAGGAGAAGAGAGGAGGGAGAGGCCATGCCCCCACGTGGGGGAATGCTCGGATAATGCGGGTGGTTCAGTCAGCGCCCGTCTGGATCCGGCAGGGCCCGTCTATTTCGTGGCAAGTTTTTGTTCAGGGTTGGGCCAGTGCGCTTGCCATCGGAGTTTTCTGCCACAGTGTTTCCAATTTCGGCTTTCTGTGGGGCATCATGTTTTTTTGTATCGTGTGTCTGGCGGCAGCTCCGAAGCGCGCAGGTTCAAGATGGGGCAGTTCGAGCTAGCAGTCAGGTATCACAACAAGCACCTTGAGCTGGCGGACCAGCGGGACCGTATGGTGGCCCACACCAACCTGGGCATAGCTTTCCAGGCGCTCTGCATATTTGCTCTGATCATCTGTCGCGGTCGAGTTCTGACGTATTGAAGCGCAGGAGTCCGACCAGTATTATCGGCTCTGCCGTGCTTCGCGCGTGTCTGGACTATGTTAGCATCGTGCCTGCGCCTTGCTTTGGCATCGCGTGTTGGCTGCCTTCGGACCCCAGGAGCCCAGCGCAAGCATCCATCGCGCATGCGCGCCTGGTGAAACGTTCTCCCTTTTCCTTTCTCCTCCACCTTCCCCCCCACGCCCACCACGTTCGCTCGCCTCCGTCTCCGGCTCCGCCTCGCTGCTCCCACGCCCGGCGGCTTCGGTGCATACGGCTGGCGTTGGAACAGTCAGCGTACGACGTGGCGCCACCAGCCCGCATTTTTTCGACGCTGTCCCCCACTTTGGGGATAGCATGCTCCGAAGAGGCCCTGGCAGGGGGACAGCGTTCACAGAGGGGGCCCTCGCGGGGGGGATCGCCTCACGGGGACCGCGTGCTTCTCGGAATCCGATGATGCAACGCCCATCGTAAGGGCCGCACACCTGCCTTCCCCGCGTCCTCCTCCGCGCTCGCCTCAGCGTTCACCTGGAAAACTCTTGGACCTTCTTCGAGGCCCCATCGGAGGCCTCTTGGCCCTTCTTGGGGCTCTCTTGGGAGCCCCGAGGGCAGCGCCCAGGAGCAAAACCGTTTCTGATACTGCCTTGCCGTAGATCGGCCGGGGCTCTTTTCGTTCGGCGCCAAGGGGCGGCACGCGCGCGCGAACAAGAAATTTTCTACAGCTGTTGCCCGAGATCTAGCACGCTTCTGACCCATTGGACCAGCGAGTTCTTGAAACGTTTGGAGAGCCCCCATGTTAATCGCTGACTGTTCAGATGCTTTGAACTGAGACGTCTGGAGCTTGTGAACGTTTGGAATGTGGTGAATGTTCGGGAAGTTCGTCGCTGGAAGAACGGAGAGTGTGGAATGGTTCAGTTCGGATGCAACTCTTGGGAGGTCAAATTCTGTTTTTGCCCTGGTCCAAAATCTGGCCTCATCCCGTTTAATCTCAGAGCCCCGAATCATCAGGGGTAACTCGGGTCAGGGATAACTCGGGTTCGTTTTTCGGGATTCCGAACCCGAGTTACCCCGGACCCGAGTTACCCCGGATATCTCGGGCGTCCAGAGCCCCGAATCATCAGGGGTAACTCGGGTCAGGGCTAACTCGGGTTCGTTTTTCGGGAACCCAAACCCGAGTTACCCCGGACCCGAGTTACCCCGGATAACTCGGGCGCCCGATAATCCCACTTCATCCCGCTTAATCTGGCTTAATCCCGCTCAATCCCGCTTAATCCGGCTTGATCCGAGGCCCACTCTGGCATAACAGCCCCCCAATGGGGCTTAATCCTTTTTAATATTTCCGGCGAAAACCTGCCAGTAGTTGTCTCCTAAGTTAAGAAGCGGCGGAACACGGGGAAGTTTGGAATGTTTGTGAAGTTCGGTGCGTGGGGAATCTAATTCTTCATTAGATGAACAGTGGTTCCGTCCCTGTGAGCGCACTCTTGATTTGCTTTCGCGGTCCGCTTCTGCTTTGAGCCATAATTTGGCCTTCTGGGTTGCCCCGAAGGGCACAGGCAGGAAGGGAACACGTGGCACACCATGCGAGGATGGGGCAGCAGAGCTAGAACAGGCGATGGGCATGCACGAACATGCGGCGGTGCACCACCAGCACGCCGTCGACCACGCCAACCGCATGGGCGCCAAGGACCTCTGCCCCCACCCCTCCCCGCAGCCGCCCCCGTGGGAGGCCCGGGCGAGCGCCGTTAGTCTGCAGGCTGCCGCTGAGGCTTCGCCGCCGCAGCCAGTCGGGCGGATGCCTTGGGGCGCCGTCCGCAGGCCAGGGGGCCAGAGCACGGAGTAAGCTGCGCACCCGCTCGTCCACGCCCGCTTGTTCATGATGCAAGGCGCACCCTTGCACCGGTCAGAAATCTTAAGGGAAGGCAGTCGCTCTCATGGACTCCAGACTTCGCTTCAGAGAACCAAGAGGCTGCACTGGACCCTGGGCGCTTCCTTGAACCTCCTCCTCCCGTGGAAGTTTCGTGTACCTGGGCCTGGGCTACTGATCAGACACACGCTTGGAGGTGTGCTCGTAGTTGCGATCAACTCCCACTCTCAACCCTGTCGGTCGGATGCCCCCTGAAGCGGGAGGTCACGTTCCGCTCATAAGAAAAACCGCGCATGCTGATGATTTCTCTTTCAATCTGAATGTTCTGTCGTGTTCGTTGTGGCATGCGCGCGAAGTGACAAACGCTGCCGTCGCACCAGCGCCCACGTGGAGCGTTCCTGCAACTCAGCTCCTGCTTGCGCGCGGCGTGCGCCCCATGAGGCCGCGCCAGGGCGGGCGAGCGAGTTGTCGCCCTCGCCCCAGCGCCGAGCCTTGGGAGGAGGAGTGAGGAGGAGGAGGAGGAGGAGGAGGAGGAGGAGGAGGAGGAGGAGGAGGAGGAGGAGCAGGTTTGCTCTCGCTTTGGCGCAGGGCATGTTTTGCGTTCGCCGGCGCTGCCGGACACGGCGGGGGGCGCGCGAGCGAGCGGGCCGCTGCTTGCCCTCGAAGGGGGCTACGTTCGGATGCAACTCCTGAGAGGTCAAAGTCTGTTTTTGCCCTGGTCCGGAATCCGGCTTCATCCGGCTCAATCCGGCTCAATCCCGCTTTATCTGGCTCAATCCCGCTTAATCCGGCTAAATCCCGCTCAATCCGAGGCCCTTTCTGGCGTAACAGCCCCGCATTGGGGCTCAATCTTCTTTGATTTTTCCGACGGAGACCTCCCAGCAGTTGCTTCCTCATGCTACGGGAAGAATGGCTACGACGACCGACAGATGTATAAAACAAATAAAACGCTTGTATTTGAACAGACCACAAACAATAACGAACACCGACAGTTGTCCCTGTTCCTTTTGAACAGGCCTCGCTGTCGGTGTCCTCGCAGAGGTTTTCCAGTCGAGACAGGCGCCGGGCTGCCCAACCGCGGCCGCCGTCGGCTTGGGATAACGTTTGCTGTCGTGCATCGTGCCCGTCTGGGCGTCCAGCCTCAAAGCCCAGGCTCTCTCCCTCAAAGTTGCATTCCTGCGTGGGCTCGGCACGCCAATTCCCTCGCCAGGTCGTCGGGAGCGCGAGCGCTCCCGTGGGCGGAACGTTGCCTTCGCCTCGAAGCCCAGGGGCCCAGATCCTTCCTAGACGCTGCGATTCCACTTGCGCACGGCGCACTTTCTCATGTGCCAGGGCGTCCGCAGCGGCAGGGTCATGCGCGAGGAAGCGCTTTCCAGTGCTTGGTGGGAGCGCGTGCCAATCCCAGCGTCAGTCATGTCCATCTTGATACGTAGCCTAGGGCAGCAATCACGTTGGAGTGGGCGGGTTGCGCCAACTCGCCCAGCTGGCTAGCTTTACCAATGCTCGTGAGAATTCGTACTGATTCAAATTTCGTCATCTGTTCGTATGCCCCCTTGTACTTGCTCTTGCTTTCTGTCTGCTGGTACTCATGCCCACTTACACCATCTCGCAGTCGATACACTGATATCTATATCTATCGTGTTCTCTGCCCTTTTTTTGTTTCTCTCTCTCTCTCGCTTCCTCTGTGAGTATGTGGGTACATGACTAATCATGTCTGCTTGTCCGTCCTTGTCTCTGTCTGTCTGTGTCACGAGCCTCCTGATCACCGCATGCTGGTAGCAGGCAGCACATTTTGGGCGTGGCGGAGGAAGGCCTACCAGGTGTGTATCACAGGCCTGTTAGGAGCAGCGCTGGTGTGACCTGTTGGACAGAACGCCCGCTTGGGAAGTGGACGGCTCTCTCTCTCTCTCTCTCTCTCTTTTTTTTTTTTCTCTCTCTCTCTCTCTCTCTTTTTTCACGCTCGTAGCTGGCACCACATCGGGGCCTCCTGGATGTGGGTCGGCCAGATGTGTAGCAGGGGTCCGTTCGGGACAGATTTGGTGGGACCTTTGGCGGGAACCCTTGGGAAGGTCACCAATTCTTGGAGGAGTACGTGTCTCCCCTGAGAGCCCCATGGCCTCCGGATGATCTCATGTCCGGTACTTCGGCGTCCCAAGAGGGGTGTCGCTGAGGAGGGTATCACGGGAGAGTCCGGGCCAAATTCGTTTGGGGCATCCTTTGCAGAGCAGTGCTTTTCAAGAGATGGACCTCTTCCCTGGTCCTCGCGATCACCAGAGGAGCACCGTGCATGAGCCTTCCGAAGGGGGGCCGGCCGGGGGTGTATCATTTCGGAAACTGGAGCATATACATTACCAGTGGCGGGCTGTTTTTCAATCTCGGGTTTTTTTAGGGTCGGGGACGACATCGGGGTGGTGTGGCGTATATTTTTTCACCAGAATCCCGTATACACCAGAATCCCGTATACACCAGGATCCGCTTCCCTGTGCGAGTTTCAGTGCGAGGCCGGAAAAAGCGTCGGTGTATAGAATTCGGCTCCGTATTCGGGACAAGATTGGTGGGTTCTTATTTGCAAAGCGGCCATGTGGGGAGGTATAAGAGTGTCACCCAAGAGTTTCCTAATCCAAGCGTGTTGGCAGACACGGCGATCGGGCCTGACGAGAGGTGCGTTGGCCATGAATGTCACACGCGGGTTCGGGACAGCATCGGTGAGAGTTCTGCAGTAGATCGTCTGTTTTGGGGAGCTAGATTCATATCGATCACGAGTCTCATGGTCAGTATGCTTGCAGGACCACCGTTTGGGCCGCACAGAGGGGGGCGCCGACCAAGGGTGTACCACGGGCCCGTTCGGGACAACATTTGTGTGGCGTCTTGGGCAAATCGCCAGATTGGAGAGTTATATGGGTATCTCTCAAGAGTCGCGTGACCACAACATGATAACGAGTTCACAGTGAAGCGAAAATCAGCGCAATCCAGTTGCGCCTCTAACAGCGCAGCTGAATCCAGTCAAGTCCAGCTCGGTCCAACGTCAGGCCAGCCCAGCCCAGTCCTGCCAGCTCAGGCCAGCCTGCTCGCCAGCCTCATCGCCGCTCACCAAGGCCCATCCCAGCCAGTCAATCTCAGCCCGCCTCATCGCCGCTCACCCCGGCCCAGCCCAGATCGGTCCATCTGAGCCAATCTCACGCAGAGCCGCCCACCGCAGTCCAGCTCCACTGCTTGACGCGGCTCATTCCAGCCCCGTACAGGCCAACGTATCCCAGCTTAGCTTGGCCCAGCTGGTCCCAGTCCACCCGAGTTCACGAAGCCTAGTCCAGCTGAGTCCAAGTCGGCCCAACTCTGCTCAGCTCAGCGAGCCCTGGCCTTACTCAAACCATCTCCGCCCAGCTCAGTCGAGCTCAGACAAGCTGAGCCCAGCCCAGTCCAAGTCAATGACGTTCAGTTTGGCTCAGTCCAGTTCAGACCAGCACGGCCCGGCTTAGCCCAGCCCAGTCCAGCTCAGGTTCAGCCCAGTCAGACGAGGGGACCACAGCGCAGTTCAGCTCAGCGGATCCCAGCGCAGCCGACCCACGTGCCTCTTCGAGAGCCTGGAGGTGCCACTGTTTCCAGATGGCATGTCTTCTCGATATTTTACACGGGTCCAGGGGCAAGACCGCACAATGAATACACATGCGCATGGGGACGGGGGACGGGGGACTACTAGGCCTAGCGATTTCCGAAGCTGTCGGGCAAACCTCAACAGCACGAAGCAAGCCAGGGGCGGCGAGGTGGTGCGACGCGGCCGGGGCATGGCAAGCCTGGATCAGCGCGTGGGGGGGTGGCGGGACATAACCAGTGAAACATGTGTTGGCCGCCGCGCGAGAGAGGGGCCCCAGAAGAACGGTATCTAGTGCTTCGTAGCCATTTTTGCCAAAGTTTTTGGTGTGAGGCAGCGCCACGAGGTCGATCGTAGACCCTCACCCGCGGTGCGCTGCCCGCCCGCCCTTGTGGCACAGATGTCCGCCACGATGTCCGCCAGCGGGCCTCACGCCTGCGCGGTGGAGTACAGGGAGAGGATCGTGGAGGTGCCCCAGGTCCAGGTGCGCGAGGTCATCAGGCAGGTGCCGAAGGTCGAGATCCAGGAGGTCATCAGGGAGGTGCCCGTTTACCACCAGAAGACAGTCGAGAAGATCGTGCATGTGCCACAGGTCCAGTACGTGGAGAAGGTGGTGGAGGTGCCAGACGTGCAGGTGGTGGAGGTCATCAAGCAGGTCCCAGTGTATCAGGACGAGGAGGTCGTCCGGGAGGTAAAGCGGGTGGAGATCCAGGAGGTCGAGAAGGTGGTCGAGATCCCGCAGATCATCCATCAGGAGAGAATCGTGGAGGTGCCGCACATCGAGGTCCAGGAGGTGATCAGGCACGTGCCCAAGATCGAGGTCGTCGAGGTCCCCAGGGAGGTGAGGAAGGTCGTGACGTCACAGAGCGTCAGGGAGGTGCACGTGCCGCAGGTGCAGGTGGTCGAGAAGATCGTTGAGGTACCAGAGGTGCACGTGGAGGAGGTGATCAAGTACGTGCCCGGCGACATCGTGGTTCAGGAGGTCATCAAGGAGGTGCCGAAGGTCACCACCGTGGAGGTCCAGAGCCAGAGGACGGTCACCGTGAGCGTTGCCGCGCCAGTCTACATGGGCATGCCGACCTCCACCGCCCCCGCAGAGCCCGTGGGTGCTCAGACCCACTCCGCCCCCCCCGCTCCGACGACGCTGATGGACCCCACCTCTGCGGCGGCGCCGCCGCAGCACGTGGTCCCTCAGCCTCCCGCGCCGACGGAGCCCGTGCAGCATGCCGCGCCGCCCGCCGAGCCCGTCGAGGCCGCCCCCCTCCGCGCCGCGGCGCCCGCCGAGCCCGCCCAGGCCGCCCGCGCGGCGCCGGCCGCGGCCGCACACGGCGGGCCGGCGGCGCCCCCCGGCGTGCGCCCGGCGCCCGCCGTGGCCTCGGCTTAGCGCGGGGGCGCCGATCGTGACGACGGCCCCCGCGGGCACGCACGGAGCCCGCCTCCCCGCGCGGCCCTCGCGCCGCGCAGATGCTCAGAGGAGCACGAAGTATACCCACACGTACCGCTGCCCCCCGCCCGTTTTCCCTTCTCTGGGCCTCCTCGAAGGCCCTCGTCGCCACCGTTGGATTCGCCTCGAGCTTCTGGTCGGAGCGCACCCCGGGAGAGGTCCGGGGAGGTTGGCTGTATCGGTACTTTTCGGTCTCCCCAGATTCCCTGCGGCCTTGTCACCCTGCTCGCTTAAGACGAGACGCTCGGTCGGGGCTGCTGCATGATGTCAGAAAGCTGGTCGATCCATTCGTGACAGACTGATCGTCAAAAAACGAAGCATCCAAGAAGCCTACGGAGACTCACCGCCGCCCATCTGCGTTTTGGGAGCACCTATGAGGCCGAACATTGTGGCCAGAGCTCGGCCAAGCAATCGGACCATGTGTTCCCCAAGTCATTGTGGAAACGTTTCGGGGAACACGTGGGGGAGAAAGAAGAAGAGGAAGAGGCATCTCTTCGAGCTGTCCTGGATGCTCTCTCAGAGGCCTCTTGGGGGCCTAACGGGTCGTCCTGGGCTCTCTTGGGGCCATTTTGGGTCATCTTAGGTGCATGTTGGGCCGTCTTGGAGACATCCTGCGGTCATCTTGGGGTCTCTTGGGGCTATCTCAGACGTCTTGGATGTATCTTGGAGGACATCTTCAGCCATCTTGGCCGTCTTGGAACGGGAAGACCGATGACCTGGGAAATTCACGGGTCCTTATGGGGCGCCTGGGAATTCATTTTGGGGCCGTTTGGAGAGGGAAGACCGATGCATTGGGAAGTTTACGGGTCCTTCTCGGTGGCCAGTGGGATCGGCAGAAGATCTATTGGGAACACAGGATCAGAGCGCCGACGTCGAACAGTTGTGCCCGCGCGCGCCCTTGACCTGGAGGCCTTGGTGCGATCGCCTGAGGGCCAGAGGGGGGCCCGAATCTTGATTCACAGGCGCTGTGGGCTCACGTGGAAGGGGGCCCTTTCGACCTCTCGGCGCACTTCCGCATTTGGTTTCGGCTTACGCTGCCGATGCATCGCGAAGCGCCTTTGGGCCAGCTAACCCGACACGGATTTTCCGCTCGCACTCGGAGGGAGGGGGGCCGGGCAGGCACCTGTCCCCGCCGGCCGCCCCCCCAGCGGTCCACCCTGCAGGGCCCCTCGGCGGGCCCTCCGTGCGGCGGTCCGGGAGCCGGTGGAGCAGTCAGCAGCTGGCCTGCGCGGCATGCTTGGCAGCGCTGGGTCGAGTCGGCGGCGGCGCACGAGGAGTGCCGCAGAGAGGGTCTGTGCCTCTGCCGCGTCTCTGCCTGCGCACGCGAGCGTATGCACGGGGCTGGTCCGGCAGGCTGCCCAGGCAGCCTGCGCGTAAGTTCAGCACCGCCTGGGCTGGTGCCGAAGGGGCGCAGTGTAGCGTTAAGTCGAGCATCCCCCCCTGGACAGGAGGACTTTTCAAGACTAGTCCCACATGGTCTGCAGGGGACGATTTTTCGATTATGTTTGGTTCCTTCTTGATTCTGTTTCGATCTGTCTCCCCAAATCCGCCTGAGGGGAGGACGGGCTGGGCCAGAGGGGGGCGCAGCGGCGGGGAGGAGGGCGAGGGGAGGGGAAGGAACGGCGAGGGCGCGCGCACCAGCGGTGAGCTCAGGTTGAGTTCAAGTCCCCGCCCCGATCCAAGCAGGCCGAGAAACAAGACGTCACCACACACCAAAGCACCCCAACCCAACCCGTGCCCTCCATTTCCAGTGGGGGGTGGGTCGGGGATCATTGAAAAACACATGGACCCCGTACCCCCCCAACCCGAAATTCGAGTCAAATTCGTGTCTTCGGGTTGGGTTGGGGTGGTCTGGTAGGTAGTCAATACGGTGAGTGTATTGGACAAGGAACCAGTGGACAGGGAGTCCAGGGCCCGGGAGCTGGTGGAACACCAGTCGTGGACTGGCCATGGATATCATTGCCGACCTCGTCAGATGAGGAATCCCCCAGGGTCTGAAGCCCCCTGGGCACATTCCTGCACGAACGCCCCCACCGTATCCAGCGTCACTGCATGTGATCGTTTTCTTATTGTGAAGGCCTGACGGCCGGTGCCGCCGACCCTGAAAGACATCGACGACGACCAGGAGAAGGAGGAGGATGAGGACGAGAAGGAGGAGGAGGACGAGAAGGAGTTGGAGATCAGGAGGAGGAAGGAGGAGGAGGAGGAAAAGGACTCCCCCCTGGGACCTCCCCCCCTGGGGAGGAGGACCATTACATGTGATCGTTTTCTTATTCACTGCTCTGCCGATCGGTGCGGGGGCCCTCGCACCGCTACAGGAGGAGTATTCAAACATAGTTAACAATAGTCTGGGAACATTTTTTTTTTTTTTGCGTATTTTTGGATTTGAGCATTTGTGGGTGTTTTTTTTAATCCAAAATCCGCCTGTAGGGGGACATGACCGACCTAAGGGTAGATCGTGTCTGTTTTTGGCGCCCGTCTCAGGCAGGCGGGGTCTCCCCCACAGAGGTCGCGTGAAGCAGAGGTCCAGAGCCAGACCCCCCCCACTCTTCTGCCCAGTGTCGAAATGCCGAGTAAGAAAACGTTCACCGTGTACTTGCTCCAATGCAGTCACGACGCTGAAGTAAGGAACAGTTTGGGTTCGGAAGGGGCTCGATGTTCCTTAGGCTCCTCCAGTGCCGTTCCTCTTGCCCTCCTGGGGCACGGAGGCGCTTACGGGGCCAAGAAGGGGCTTCGTTCCTTATTTAGCGTTCCTTATTTCAGCGGCCCGACCGTAGAAGGCCAGGGGGAGGGGACGGGAGGGGAGGGCAGAGCAGCTCAGATGAGGTGGCCGCGAGATGGACGGCAATGGAGCGGAGGGCGGCAAGGTCAAGAGTAGGGTGTTGGGGCTGGCGCCGTTCGACGCGAGGCTTGCGAGCTCGATGTGTTGGGCCCAGGGGCTTCTCATGCTGCAGTTCCCAGTCAAGGTCTTCGCCGTGTGTCTTGCGGCTGGGAGCGTGCCTGGTGGTGCCAGTATCGGAGGGGTTGTGGTAGAGCTGGGGAGGAGAGGCGACGAGCCCCTCCATCTTTTCTCGAGCGCAACCAGCTTGTCCTATTCCCTTGTCCAGCCTCCCTCCTCTCCCTCTCCCTCCCCTTCTCCCCCCCGCCGTCCCCCGTCGACAAGGGAAAGGCTCGGCCAGGCGAAACTCGGCCAGGAACTCCAGCCATGCTGCACTCGGCCCAGGCCAGATCCAGCCTGGCCGAGTTCAGCCTGGCCGAGATCAGCCAGCCGAGTTCAGCCCGCCCGATTTTAGCTGTCTGAGTTCAGCCAGGCCGAGTTTCTCTTCTTGGCATCGCTCGGACGTGTGCATGTTTCTTGCGAGGACAGTCGAGGAGCATTTCTGTTCACCCTGCGAACAAACGTACACGCACGAAACCGAAACAACATGCACAGGGAATTGACGTCTGAGCGATGGCGAGTCTTGGCCGAGTTTGGTGATCGTTTTCTGATTCGTTGGGCCCTCGCCCCTCCCCCTCCCCCCCTCTTGGAGTGGATCTTGGCTGTTTCTGGCGCCTGTTTCGAGCAGGTGGAGGCTCCCCTCAGGACGCACCGTCGCAAACCGCCGCACTAGGCAGAGGTCCGGAGCCAGACCCCTCCCTTCCCCCCCTCTTCGCTCAATGTCGAAACGCTGAACAAGAAGACGCTCACTTGCTACCCTCTCGCCCTCCTTCCCCCGCCCGCCCTGGCATGAGCGCGTTGCCTTCTCCCCCCAACTCCCGCCGCGTGCTGCCGGGCGGGGGCGCAGGGAGGCGGGCCCGCCAGGACGCCCAGTGCCTGTCGGTGGGCAACCTCGGCCTCGTCTCCAAGGCCCAGGAGCGGCGGCCACCCCCGCGCTCGTACCGCGAGCGGCTTGAGTAAGGAACACTCACTTTTCAAAAGGGGTTCGGTCGTTCCTTAGGCTTGCATGCGTTATGTATCGCTCCTTATGCGTTATTCCTTATTGATCGTTCCCTGTGCGTCATTCCCTGAAAAAAATGGGCTTCGTTCCTTGTGTATCGTTCCTTAGGTCAGGCCGATGACTGCAGGGGGCACCACGCTGCTGGGCCGGCCAAGGAGCCAAGGAACTCGGCGACGGAATTTCGGTGTATAGACGCTCCAGCGTCGCACATGCTGGCAAGCTTGGGCGTCTGTGCACCGAGCTCCCTGGCTGACCAGACGACTCGGTGCATACTGCGAGCCCCTCCCACGCGCCCCGCCCGCGCCCGCCTGGCGCTCTCTCTTGCAGGGAGGGGCCCAGCGACGCGCAGGGCCCACTCCGAGTCGGCCGATCCGACCTCGGCGTCGAGTGCAGCCGGCCCGCTCCGACTCGTGTTCGACTGCAACGCGGTGCGAGGCGACCCGATGCTTGCACTGCGCAGCTGCGTGCCCGTGCGCAGCCGATTCGGCTCGATCCATGGGCGGACGCGTATCCGTCTCCGCGGCCTCGCGTCGTCGAGCACAGAAGAAGCCCTAGCCATCACAACACGGTGAAGACGTGGCCTCACTTAGGTCCCCGTCTTCGCATTATAGGGAGAATGCATTTGGGCGGGTTGGTCTGGTGCATCTGCAGAAAAGACCCCCTAATCCCTAATATTTTTGGCCCTCTCCACTTGGGTCCATTCCCAAAGGGTTAGGGGTGCTTTTATTGCTTATCATCGCGGGTCGGACCCCTGCGCCGCGACCCCGCGGATAGGGAGGGCGTTTGTGTCGCGGAGCCCCTGCGTGGAGCGTATCCGTGGAGCCGCGCATCCGCGGGATCGCGCCTCAGAATCCGCACCGCGAGGGCGCGGATGCAGATCTGTTCGCCGCTCGTGATCGATCTCCATTGCGGGCCCGTGCGGCCCTATTCGATGCCCGTTCCGACCCGATGCGACGCAGCGCGATGCGATGCTGTCTCTGCTCCCCATGTGCAGGTCGGCAGGCTGTCGCGAGTGGCGTGAGGGTGGGGTGCAGGAGGAGTGGCGCATTGACGGGGGGTCCAGGGTTCGATGTGGGGGAGGCCAAAGCTCCACACTGGATGCGGGTGTGGCGCTTTCGGTCCGTAAAGGGCTTGAAAAAGCACCGCTCTCTTTCTAAGTCCGTTCTGCTGCTCCGTTCTCTCCCTCTCCTCCACTTCTCTTCCTCCTCCTCTTCCACCTCCTCCTCCTCTACCCCCTTGCTCCTCCTGCTCCTCAGGAGGTTCGCGTGGTGTTGACTAGCGGCGACCCCGCCGCCGGCGTTCAACGCTGAGAGCCGCCAGCGATCCAGAAGCGGTCGATGTTGAACGACCTGACGTTTCGGAAACGGCCAGTCGTTCAAGCTTGAACGATCCCCGCGGTGTCAGGAAACAACGCCGGGGTCTTCATGACACGAAATTGCCGTACCACTGCTCGTCCTCGAGAGCTCTCGTCGCCACGGCTGAATTCTCTTCGAAATTCTGCGTGGCCTGGTTTCGCTCCTCTGGAGTGGAAGGCTGGGCACCTTTTTGTACCCACCAGAGGAGTGGGGGGAGGGGGAGCGGGGAAAGGGAGAAGGAGCCTCATAATGCACTCAAAGGCAGCCCTTGGGATGTACCGAAAGCTGCCCCGAGACCCAAACAGTGCCTGCACCAGGGGCTCTCTCTGGGGCTCTTACAGGGCGCCCACGTTTGCCAGCGCGGACCCCAAACAGTGCGTGATTTCATTGTGGGTGTGCTAGCTATGTGGTGCCCTCTATGTGCCCCAAGCTACGCGCGCTGCAAACAATAATTATGGTGTAATCTATGTGTGGTGTAAGCAGCCTGGTGCCAGCCATGTGTATGTGTGAGAGAGAGAGTGTGTGTGTGCGTAGTGCAAACTACGTGGTTCAAGCTGTGCGCTGGAAGCTATGAGGTGGAAGCTGTGTTGTGCAAGCCGAGCCGTGCAAGCTATGCGGTGCAAGCTGTGTGGTGCAAGCTGTGTGATGCAGACAGGATGGTGCACGGAACGCAATGCGCCAACGTGGGGCACATGGTCAAGCAGTGGCGAAGCGTCCTGGCTCACCGAAAGCCTTACCAAACAATGTTCTAAGAACTTATTGTGGTTCCCACGAAATGTTCTTAGCGCATTTCTGTCTGGGAGTGTCTTGTTTTAACACATCGGGTTAATGTTCAAAGAACATTGTTTTTGTTCTAAGAGCAGTCGTTGGGTTCCAAGAACATGTCGTGGTAGCACTGTACGAATGCCAGGACGGTCGGTCCCTGCTCAACATGGCCGCCCACCAGGCAAGCCCCGCCGCACACCACGCCGGCGACTGGGGCGCCCCCAGAGGCGCCCACGAACGCCCACCGGGCGGAACCTCGGCAGACCCCACGAGGCACCCACGAGGCGCTCCCGGCCGCCCGCCGGGCGAGACCTCGGCAGGCCCAGCCCCAGCGCACGGGGCGCGCACGACGGCGCCCACGGCCGCCAACCGCCCAGCAGGCGAATCCCGGCATGCCACACCAGTTATGTGACGATTGTGTGTGTCCAGCGTGGACGCCAACCAGTAAGTTGTTACACGACGGATGTGTGAGCTGTGTGGTGCAAGCTGCGTGATGCAAGCTGTGTGGTTCAATCTGCATGGTGCAAGCTACGTGGTGCAAGCTGTGTGGTGTAAGCTGTGGAGTGTAGGCTGTGTGATGCAAGCTGTGATTTTTTGCCAACTCATGAGTTGTTCACTCCACTGCTCGCGCAATCATCCCACCCGCCCACCCGCAAATTGCTTTGCAAATACCATGTGGCCGCGATTGCGATTCATTCTTGGCCCTGGCTGGCGCATCTCTGCGGCCGCGCAGGCGCGCGCAAACTCGCGCGCAGAGCGGCCATCTGGGTTGGCACAGCCGATGCCGCCGCGACAACGCTTACCGATGGCAGCCTCCGAGCGCGTCTGAATGGCTGCGTTAGAGCGCGGGCACTTTAATGCGGGTCAGTCACCAGGGTGGGAGGGATGCCATGATGGACGTCGACAACGACGGCAACGAGCCTGCTATTCTGATGGCAGTGGCGATGATGCCGATGACGACGGCCAGGCTCATGATGGCGCCAATGATGTCCATGTGTCGGTGATGAAGGTGTTTGTGTGATGGTGGCGGTAATGGCGGCGATCGTCTATGACGGTGACGTGATGCGGCGACGCTGATGAGGGTGATGGGGAGGAAGTGCGCGCGCGCGGGTTCCTAAGCAGCCTGGCAAACGTTTTTGTTGACCGAAGAGTGTGGTTCGAATTATGTTTTTAAAGAGCTCTGTTTTGACATGCTTCGCGAGCCAGTGGCTTTGCAAGGAGTTGTACGCGCGCGCGCGTGGCGGCGCGCGCGTGTGGCCCGCATGGTATTTTGTGATACGGTTCCGTGCACCGGGCGCATGCTTCAGCAACGCGGATGCACAAAGTGGTGAGGTTGGAATGCGGGTTCTGGCGGTACTGCTAACACCATTGTTCTTCTCCATGAGGTCATCAAATGCGCGCGGGCAGAACATATGCAAGCTGTGTAATGAGCCATCTGCGGGTGTTTGGTGCTATGCTGCAGTGTTTGCCCAGCGGGTGTGTTAGGTATGATTTCGACATGTGTGCGCATGAGGACTATGTGCCGTGTTGATTGCGATCAACGAGTGCGCGCATAGCAATATTTGACAGGGTTGAGGGAATGGGGGGGGACGATTCCTGCCTGCCTGGGATCTTTTGAACCATACACAATATTGAGCCATAAGGCCATATCTATTCTATGTACCTTGCAGTGCCCCAGGGGGTATCGATAAGTCCAGGAGGGAGAGGTGGACAGGTTTGTTCTTCTTTCGAAAGGAGGACATATGTGAAGCTCTGAGGTCAAAGCTATGTGGTAGAAACTGAGTGGTGCAAGCGATGCGGCCGCCCAGCGCACGATACGTCCTCGGGCGAGCACCAGGCGAAACCTCGGCTCACCCATTCAACACGAGGAGCCCAGGAGATGCCCACCGCCGCCTACCACTTGACAACAGGCGAAGCCTCGGTTCCTTGAGAAGACAAGTGATACCCCTGAAGTGCAACAGCATTCTGGGGAACACGTAAGTGGCCCTAAGTGGACGCATTGCTTGAATCATGTCTAGTTTATAGATCGTGTGCGGAGGCGGGGTAGAGGCATCGGAAGTTGGGGGGTGAGATCGCAGTGGAACGGAGACCCAACACCAGGAAATCGCTTCGTTTCGTTCGTGTCGTGCGTGCGGGCGAGACGAAGCTGCGTGGGCGCGTGAGAGGAATGAACCCGCCGTTGCTAGGGCGAAGTCAAAACAATGATTCTCCCCCGCCCGTCCGTCCGTCCGTCCGGCGGTGGCTCGCGGTGTCCCGTGGTGTCCCGTGGTGTCCGCCGTTGCCAGGGCCAAGTCAAGACAACTGATTCTCCCCCGCGCGCCCGTCCGTTCGTCCTGCGGTGGCTCGCGGTGTCCTGCGGTGTCCCGTGATGTCCCGTGGTGTCCCGTGGTGTCCGCCGTTGCTAGGGCGAAGTCAAGACAACTGATTCTCCCCCGCCCGCCCGTCAGTCCGTCCGTCCAGCGGTGGCTCACGGTGTCCCGCGGTGTCCCGTGGTGTCCCGTGGTGTCCGCTGTTGCTAGGGCGAAGTCAAGTCAAATGAATTTCCCCGCCCGCCCGTCCGTCCGTCCGTCCGGCGGTGGCTCGCGGTGTCCCGCGGTGTCCCGCGGTGTCCCGTGGTGTCCCGTGGTGTCCCGTTGAGTGAGATCGATAGTGAGATTGATAGTGAGATCGATATTGAGATCAATACTGAGATCGATGTGGTGCCCCGAGGTGTTCCGTGGTGTCCCAAAGAGTGAGATCGATAGTGAGATCGATAATGAGATCGACAGGTGTCCCGTGGTGTCCCGCGGTGTCCAGTAGTATCCCGTTGAGTGAGATCGATTTCAGTATCGATACTGAGATCGATACTGAAATCGATGTGGTGCCCCGAGGTGTCCCGTGGGGTCACGTGGTGTCCCAAAAAGAGGGATCGATAGTGAGACCGATAGTGAGATCGACAGGTGTCCCGCGGTGTCCCGTGGTGTCCCGTTGGGTTAGATCGATCGTGAGATCGATAGTGAGATCGATAGTGAGATCGATGTGGTGTCCCGAGGTGTCCCGTGGTGTCACATGGTGTCCCGTTGAGTGAGATCGATAGTGAGATCGATAGTGAGACCGATAGTGGGATCGAGAGGTGTCCCGCGGTGTCCCGTGGTGTCTCGTGGTGTCCCGTGGTGTCCCTTCGAGTGAGGTCGATAGCGAGATCGATAGGGGGATCGACAAGTATCCCGTGGTGTCCCGTGGTGTCCCAAAAAGTGAAATCGATAGTGAGATCGATGAAATCAGATGTTGGTTCTCACCCCTCTCCCCCCCCAAGGGCTTTCGATGTGTAGTACATTGTTTGGGAGGCGCGGCACATATGTTCTGCAAATCTTAAGCATGGAGACTTACGTGAGGCCCACGTGAGACCCGCGCCTGTCTACCGATTCACGACGCCAGCGCACCGCAGGTCCTCGTTTGGAGTCTTGTGTGGTTTGGACGCCATGCGTTTAGGGGGACAGGGCGAATCTGTGTGCGTCTCGGGGCCTCACCTGCGGTGAGGAGGAGGAGGGGGGGGGGGGCGGGAGCAGGATGCTGAAAGGGAGGAGGAGGAGGAGGAGGAGGAGAAGTACATGGGAGGATGAGAAAGTGAATGACATTGGATGGGGACCATGCGGAGCAGCGCGGGAAGGTGTGGATGATTTGGGGAGGAGGATGAGGTCGAGGAGGAAGAGGCTCTTCTTCCGGGACTGTGCCTCTGGAGTTCCGTCTGGCCCACCCAATCGCAGCAGCTGGCAGGGCGACCTCCAGACTAGCAAGCTCTGCCTGGAGTACCACCTCAGGCTATTTCTGCTGCCGCGCAGCAGTCCGAGGGAGGGAGAAAGAGAGAGAGAGAGAGAGAGATAGAGCGGACCCTGAGAGGAGGATGAGGCATGGCTGATGAGAGGGACGATGATCATGCTGCTGATGATGATGATGCTGAAGATGAAGATGATGATGCTGATGATGATGGCGATAACGATGAGGATGAGGATGATCATGCTGATTGATATTATGCTGCTGCTATTGATGATGCTGATGCTGTTGATGATACTGATGATGATGCTGCTGATGACGACAACGATGATGATGATGATGGTGATGATGTCTATGATGAGGATGATTATGATGAGGATGAGGATGATGGCGATGCTGCTGATGCTGATGATTCTCATGACGATGCTGTTGATGATGAAGATGATGATGATGATGCTGGTGCCGATGATGATTCTGATGATGTGGATGATGATGCTGATACTGGAGATGTTGATGATGATGCTGATGATGCTGATGGTGCGGCTGCTGCTGACGATGACGCTGGCGATACTGATGAGCATGGTGCGGATGATGATGGTGAGGATGATGATTGTGATGTTGATGATGA